TGAATGGTGGCAGAGAAATGGAGAATGGCTCTCAGCAAATGGTATTGGATGAACCTGATGATGTTGTGACTTTGCACAAAAGAGAAAGGCACAGCCAAGGGTGCTTTCCAGCTTTGTCATTATCACCTGATATGGTCCCTCTAATAGTTGGGGCAACTCTACTTCTAGATGCAAGGCCAGCGACTCTTATTGATTTGAGTGGCTGTCCAGAGCCAGACTAATTGGGCCCAGAGATTGGAACAATGATTCAGCAAGAAGGGGTGAACTGACAAGGCAGAGTCCGTCTGTCTGCTGGTGGCCTGACTTTGCAGCAGCTCTTTTCTGCCCATAGTAGCAGGGAGCTCAGGGGGCCGGATCTCACTGCCCTTCTCACTGTTTGAGAGGAGGCAGAACCCGGGTGACCTGTGACCCCAGGTCCCAATAGCACCACCCTGTATCACCCCCTGTTATCTCTCGAGCCTCTGAAGTTGATGATGAACACCCCCTTGCTCTATTACCCCCCTTAAAGAGTCTAACTCGTGGCCAGGTACCCTGCCCTCCACGTCCCACCTGTCTCCAGGGTGCTCTGCAACACTGGGGTGGGAGTCTGGCCTAAGCCCCAGAATCTGATCTGCTGTTTGATGTCATCCGGCCCATCCCCAGGGTCTCTAAAAATAAAGCCCCGAGACAGCCATGTTTTTGACTTTTTTTGAACAGCAGTTTTAGTGCGTGCTGTCTGTCATCCTGTTTCCTTTCTGAATGTGTTGATTGAACAGTGGGTGGCTAGGTAATGTTTGTGTTGGCACAGAATCCAACAGCTGATTTTATTTTTTAAAATATATTAAAAAAAAAAACCCGGAGATGTAGACTATCCCATGGAAACTTCTCTCCACCCTATAATTTTGTTTTCTAAAAAGTGTGCACTTTAATAACTTAGCAGAACAAAGATAAACCCCATGAATGGCAAGCTGTTGACGTCACTCTGAATTGATTTTCGATCCTTGTAGAACATCCATTTTACCAGTTCGGATCTGTGCAGGCGTTCTATTTAGTGTGCTGTTTTCCCGTAGAACATTATTTCTTTTATAATATATAATACCTTGATAACAGTAACTTGCATTTCAGTTGCATTTTACAGTTTACAAAGCTCTTTTTATGCCTTATCTCAAGCTTCCTGTTGTATTGTCCTGTATTGTATTGCATGAGGCAAGGCTGCATGGAGGGAGAAGCAAAAAGCCCTGGGTCCAAGTCCTGCATTTGAAATTACAAGCTCTGTGACCTTGAGAAGTGCTATGACCTCCTGGAACCCATCTCCTCTGTAAAATGGGCAAGAAGAGGATTAAATGAGAGCATGTATGTGAAGTGCCTTGTAGCACAGTGCCTGACATGTAATAGGTACTAAATAATGATAATTCTCTTTTTTTTGGTTATGATAAATAGCCATCACTAATTTTCAAACTTTTATGTGACTCTCAATTTTTCCATTATATTTCTGTGTGGCCCACAATTGACTTTTCCTCCTATGATCCAATGACGCTATAGAAAAATAATTTCATTATTCTACCTTGAAGGAAGTATTAATTGTTGAGTATGCCTTGATTGAATCATCAAGTTCCAAATCAAGTAGAAAATTCTCAGGCATTCCAAAACTGTGGTTCCCGAAAATTCAGAGGTAATCCCTTTTCCCACCAAAACCTCAGAAACAGAAAAACTTAATCCATTTGGATAACATACAGGTGAACATATAATTATCTCTGGGGAGAAGACAAACCCTCTGAAATGTGCATCTCTTCATTCATTTATTCGTTCACTCACTCATTTGTGTGCGTATTCAATAAACATCTGCCGAGTGTTGAGTATGTGCTAGGCACTGGTGAAAACATTGGCTGTTGGAAGAATTTTATGGAGAAGATGCATTTTGGGAGAAAAATCAAAAAGTCAAATTGATAACAACATCTGTTTTATTTTAGTCAATTGCATCTGTTGTCAAAAAAGAAAAACTTAAATGAATCTACTTAGGGCAGGCTCTTAAGAAGGGAATTGAACGAAAACAGAGTTTTCTTTTATTTTCCTGAGCCAAGAAAAATCTCAAGTGGCAGCAGCCCAAACTGTTTTAGACTTGGACCAGACGACTCTGGCCCCTCTCCCCACGCCCTTTGAAGTTCAAGGGGTTGGTAAACTCCCTAAATGATGTACAAAATGATGGGAGTATGTGCATTCTCTGGCTTCTTAGCTGGCATTGAATTTTCAAGTTGGTGACCTCCTATAAACCAAAGAATCACTGGGCACCATTCAAACAGACTTTCTCATTTTAAAGTAACTACGGGAATGCGTGAGCCACTACACTCAGAATGCTTCAGAAACCAGTTTTATGGGTTCTGTAAAGTTTTTTGGGTCATGAATTAGAATTTACTAATTACTTATTAGCAATTAATATCAGTCAATAAAATCTATGACTGCTTTTATGATTAATGATATTAGATATTAATAATAACCAATAGAACTAGTAATGACTAATTATATAATTGATTAGTAACAGAAAAATCTTTAAAGTGCCTTTCAGTGCTCTTTGGATATTAATAATAATTAAAAATTTCACATATAATAGTGACCATGCAATAAATGATAAGGATTTATTGTTTGGCCAGAAGCCTCATCTCCAGGTATAGACCCCACTCGGCTATGGGTAGCTCCCTGTGTATATCCACTACTCCCTGGGGTCATTACCTAGGAGGTAATCAGTAAATCTTGGTTGAACAAATGAGTGAGCTCCTTCCCTTGTCTCTCCTCGGTGAGAACCTCTGGGGTTTAGGCTGGAGCGAAACACCCAAGAGATTTCTTGCCTGAATTCGGGGCCCAGAGAATGGAAATCAGGTGTCTTAGATGATGGGTGTGCCCTCAGCGTGGGCCCAGGCAGATGCTTCTGTGTCTTGGGCACCAGCTCTGCCTCCCCTTTGGTGGCAGCTGAGGGCCGTCTGAGGTCACGGTGTTGAGATGTGGCGCCTGGAGGCTGCAGTACCCACGTGTCTGGGCCTCACTGTTGCCACCTCTCCCTTCTAGTTTTGTGTGACACAAACAGAAACGAAACATAAACTAAATTGATTATCATAAGGTCACACGTCTAGCCCATGAAAGACTAGACGAGACTTAAAAGAAATTAGACTGCAGCCGAATGTAATTAAAAAGGGTTTTGAGAGAAATTGAATATAATAACCCTCTGTGATGATTCTCTTACAGTAGTGTCTGGTACATCACCCAGGACATGGGGTTTAAAAACAAAGCCGTAAATGCCTTGTCATTAATGGCCCTGCTTTAGATTTATTTCTTTTATATCACACGTGCCTGACACAGTGTTGGGCATGATGTCATAGACCAGGGCAAAAAGAAGCATAAGACAAGGCTCATAGCTGGGCTCAGTCAGTCCTTCTGGATAGACTGGAGGGTGTCTCAGTCTGCTTGGGCTGCTAGAGCAGAATACCACAGATGGGGTGGCCTAAACAGTAGACATTTATTTCTCACAGTTCTGGAGGCTGGAAGTCCGAGATCAAGGTGCTGACTGGTTTGGTTCCTGGTGAGGACTCTCTTCCTGGCTTGTAGACAGCTGCCTTCTCCCGGTGTCCTCACATGGTGGAGGAGGGTGAGCTTTGTCTCTCTTTCTCTTCTTATAAGGACACTAATCCCATCGTAGGGGCCCCACCTTCGTGACCTCATCTAAACCTAATTATCTCCCAAAGGCCTCACCTCCAAACAGTGTCATATTGGGGATTAGGGCTTCAGCACAGGAATTTGGGAGGCATTTAAACTTTCAGTTATAACAGATGGAAAGGTCTTTTGGTACCAGTAGGCCCATCATTCTTTAGTTCTTGCTCACTGATGTTTGCTATAGCCAGGGATGAGCTGGGTGTTCTCAGAGAACTTGGACTGTAATCTATACCAAGAATTTCTGGGAGGATCAGTCACTTTGAACACTGACTGGAGGGCTTATGGGAGATTTGCCTTCTCTGTGTCCCTCCTGGAATGCTGGAACATCTCCCACCTCCCTGGCATCACCCTTGCTCACCCATTACAGAGCCATTGTTTGTGAGCTTGTGTGACTGTCTCAAATTCAGAGCCCCCGTGATGGGGTGGCCTCAGAACTGAGTCCCTGCCCACAGAGGGATCTTGGCACGCTCTGCAGATGTCACTGGGCTCTTGTTCTCTGCCAGTGACATTTAATTTCACATCATTAAGCAGACAGCTGAAAGGCCAGATAAGTCCTATAAAAACCCCCTTTTCATCATGTCATCACTCGAGAATCCACAATGGGGCCAAATCGCCAAAAATCCAAGCTTTTCATCCAAGTGGTCAAATCCCTGTCTCTTGCTCCTCTTGTCTTGTTTTCTCATTCCGATTTAATTTTTTTTATCATGAAATAGTTTAGACATACGAAAAGCATACAAAATAATATTATAAACACTCAGGTATCAACCACTCAGCTTAAGAAATAAACAAAATGACAGTTACCGTTGCAGCACCCTCCGAGCTCTTTGTAAACAGGACCATGAAGAACAAATGTGGGAGCGGCAGAGACAGCAGTTCAGTGACAAGCTTGTAAGCAAGGGGTTTGGGGCTGGGTAGGCCCGAGAGAAATTCCACCTCAGTGCTTCCTTCCTGGGCAAATTCAGGAAAATTGTATAATCTCTCAAAGCCTCAACTTCCTCATCTGTGAAATGGGTAGGATAAGAACGGGTACCATGTACCACCCAGAGTCATCGTGAAGACTAAATGGAGTAATAATGTAAGTAAAGGGCTTAGTCCGGTGCTGGGCACATGGGAAGTGTTCAGCAGATGGTCGTTGTTACTATTGGCCACTGTTGGGCTTTTATCATCTTGGATTTGGACCCAACAGAATAGTTTCCCACCCTCCCTTACTCCAGGGGAGACCCAGGAGTTGCCAATGCCCAGACCCAGGCAGGTGGGCACGGAACATGCTCCCCTTGATGGGCACCCTGGGCTGACTGATGGGTGCTTGGTGATTTCAGGTGCTCGTCCTGGCCGTGAAGCAGCTGTTTCCAGAGTTCGAGTTCATGTGGTTGGTGGACGAAGCCAAGAAGAACCTGCCTTTGGAGCTGGATTTCCTCAACGAAGGGAGGAACGCCGAGAAAGTGGCCCAGATGCTCAAGCACTTTGACTTCTTAAAGGTAGGAGGGGCAGGACAATGGAGGCATGGTGGTCTGGCAGAAGAGCACAGGGGAGGATTGGTCCCGGTCCCGAGCGTCCCCCTTGCAGGGCATGAGTTGGGACATCTCCATCTTGAGTCTTCTTTCTGAGGATGAATGATTTGTCCCTGGTGATGCATGTTGAAGCCCTTGAAGGCAGCGTTACAAAGAAATACCAAGTGTGACTGTTGGCCTGTCAATCAAACAGATGTTTATTGAGTGACCTACAATTGCAAGACACTGAGCGCTGCCCAGGGGCCTGTAAGCCGTGGTCTCTGCTTCCATGAGGCATGGGACGATGACTTGGATGAAGATGATGATGATGATAAACGCTACTGTTCTCTGACACTGTTCCTGACGCTTTATGTATAGTATATTAGCTCGTTTAATACATAGTCAGTTCTGCTGTAACACAACATATGTGTTCCTACAAATCTTCCCACTGTGCAAAATTGCACAACAGAAACCACAGGGCTTATGGGGAAAATGGGGTTAAGCTTACAACACTCCAATAGGGCACCAGTGACGCGGAAAATAAAGAGGATAGGAACCTAATAAAATGGTAGTGTAGCCTTACACACATTAAATGGCTGAGAAACACACAAGACCTCAGTGCACTTGGCTCTTGATCTTGCCGTCTGCTTGCAGAAGTGGGCGTCAGAAGGGTTGCCACTTGTGAGTTATTGTGAGGTGGTGGAAGGGGGTCACCTGAAATTGGACAGAAAGTTGTAATGAGTTGTGGGTGGGAGGGACCCATAACACACATGGTGATGTGTGTGGGGTGTACATTTTGTGTATTCCCATGTGGTGTGGTTCAGCTGAATGCGGTTTTCTGCCTTCACATGAAGTATCTTGGAGGTGATAATGCACGTAAGTGAATGCAAAATTTGGGTTATGATCAAACTGTTCCATGACATATCAATCACATTGGAACAGATTTGTGTTTTCAAGTGTTATAGCAGAACTACCTGTGTGATGGAAGACATTCACTGTGGGAAACGATATCAAATGGTAGAGTCACAGCTTTGTGAGCGGTCCTGCTGGTCCGTACTCTAAGGATTCAGAAGAAGGGACTGCATGGTGGATGGGGGCAGGGAAGGCTCTGCTGAGGAGTTGGCCCTGGAGCTGACCTTTGAGGACTGTCCTCATGGTCCCTGTGGGGCACATGGAGGTTGGAGTGAGAGAGATGCGTGCCAACACCGCTGTTCTTCCACCACATTTTCTCCTTAGAGGGGTTTGGACCCATCTACCCAGGGCAACCTCTTCATGGTGCAGGGGTTGGGCCCCTCTGGTAGTCTACACAGAGAGCTTGGCTTTCACCTCTCAGAAGAGATCAGCCCTTCTCTCTTCACTCAGGACTGGAGAATGCGGGAGCGGGAGTCACAGAGCTTGGGCACTAGTTGCAGAGCAAACAGTCATGTAGCATCCTTGGAGAGAGCGTCTCAGTGCATTGAATGGGCAGGTCTCTTGCTCTGGACTAAAGTGTTCATGTGGCTTCTGAAGACATAGTCAGAAACAGGGGTAGTGTTTGTACTTCTGCTATCTGGATTCCTTAACAGAGATGGGGGCACTGAAGTGTGTCTACACTAGCTACCTGAGAATCATGGGAGAAAAAGCCACAACTGTGGTGATCAGCGTGTTGTCCTGATACACTGATTTTGGTAGCCATTGGTGAAGTTTAGCTCTTTGAGTGAGTTGGGAGTCAGGTCTGTCAAGATGCCCCTAGGGGGCTTGACTGGCTTTTCCTCGGCAGCCATTGTAGACATGGATATACAGACCCTCTCGTGTGGGTAAATCCACACGTGCGGACTAGATCTGGTAACACTGCCCCAGCCCCAGCTCAAACCACCAATTCAATGACAACTTGGCTCTCTCAGGCAAATAATAATATTAACTAATTAGCATAATGCTGTGGAGTCTAAACTATGCTTCCATTTGCGTATCCCATTTCCTTCATTCCTTTATTCCACATTTATTGAACCTTTCCTGGAGCCTCTTGCTGTGCTGGGGGCTGGGGGAGTGCCTGGGTAAGTAAGAGATAGTTGGCTCCCGCCCAGGAAGACTTCCCATCTCGTAGGCGACACACACACGTATTGTGACAGTAGAGGATGGTCATGCTGTGACCGGGACTCACCTGTGTTTCTGTGGATGCCCAAGAGGAGGTACTTAATTCCACCCAGGATTTGGAGCTCAGAGGGGACTTCCAAGAAGTATTGATTGTGCAAAGGGATAGCCAATATTTACTGGATGTTTCTTCTGCTGCACTGAGCACTATGCAGATACTGTAACATTGAATCCTTCTAACAGTCATCATCCCATTTTGCAGATGGCGTCAGAGGGTAGAGGAGCTAGGGCTATGAGCCAGATTCTCTGACTTCACCTCTGGTGCTTGTCTAAGGACGTTCTGCTGCACCTTACCTGGCAGAGGTGCTCCTCAGAGCTAGAACTGTGAGCCAGACGTATAGAACCATCTCCTCTGCCGTTCCCATGGAAACAGCAAATCCTCCCCTGGCTGGGGCCAACTAGCATCTGCCAGACCAAGACATGTAATAATAATAATAACACAAATTTTTCAAACGAGGATGCCAAATGGGTAAATAATTAATGTAACGATTTGACCTGCTGCTTCTAAAACCTGCACACCATTCCTAAGACAATGGTGGAATTAAGGCTCCTGAGTAATTAATTTTGCCTAAACACATAACAAATGGAAAGCGAATTTTGCACGGCGAACCCAGTTCAGCTCTTAAAACTGGAGATGGATTGCTTTTGCATACTGGCACCCCATCACAACATCTGTGCGTAATTAAGCCTCAGCAAAGAGTTTACCTCTCAGAGTGTGAGGCATCTTCCAGTGGGTTTAATAACCTCAGCCCTATGCTATGAATCTCTGAGCCTCAGACAAGGCCTGCATGCAAATGAGGTGTTGGGGAGGCTGGGAGAGGGAGAGGGGGCAGCCAGGCCGAACGGTCAAGATCAGGGCATTGGTGGACTTGGCATCAGAGAGCGTGTGTGCTGGGGGGAGGGGACAGGACAAGCAGTGAGGTTGTGACTGACCTGAGGGACAATTGGGACAAGGTAGGAGCGAGAAGCCTTATAACCACAGAGTTTGGGACTGGAAGGATGTGAGTTTATCTCTATATGTGGAGGTGGGGATGGGTGGGGGGTCATCTCTTGAGTAAGGCCACTCCAGGGTTTCTTAGTGCAAGGTAAGGAGGCTGGGACCCTCCAGAAATTGTGGGCAAACCTGAAGGGATGTGGATGCTTTTGGAGAAGTGCCATAGCTTCCTAAGAACCTCAAAGATGAAGAACCACTGATGTATAATAATTAATATTAGTTAACATTTTTTACATGCTTAGGCTGTTAGACACTTTTTAAAGGGCATTAAAGGGCATTAAATTTACTCTTTAATTCTTATAACAGCCCCACAAAGGAGAGGCCATTATTAGCTGCCTGTCACCAGTGGGGAAGTGGGGCCCCAGAGGGATGAAGCATTTGCCCAAGGTCACAGCTTCCCAGGAAGGGGCAGAGGCAGGCTCTGGATGAGGTCGTCTGGCTCCGGAGCCTACATGTTAAACCACGGTGCTAGTCTGCCTCTGTAATAATTGGTGGGGAAGATCTGAACTGCGCTGGGCTGCATGTAGCACTAGCTCTCAGCCCTGGTTGTGTATCCGAGCCACCTGTGACACTCGACATGATTGTCACCTGGCAGCTGATGTTGGTCCAGCAGGCACTGAATGTGTGCTCTTGTGTCGAGCACCAGGACTCCACACATGCTGATAGGAGGTGAGGAGTGTTGTTTCCATTTTAATAGTCATCTCCGTCTTACAGGTGGGGAAATTGGCACTCAGAGAAGTTATAAAACTCACCCATAGTCACAGGAGGTGGAGGCGGCAGAGCCAGGACTCCAGCCCAACAGTCTGACTCTGGGTCTCTGCTCGGCTCCGCTGGGCTCAGGTGATGGGAGGCGTGTGGCCCTGGGTGATGGGCACTGGCCCGTACAAGCCAAGGCTTGCTTCACAGGTGCGTTGACCAAAGCACAGGCGCAAGGCAGAAGCACAAGGTCAGGGCCGGACTGTGAGGCTGAGGCCCAGAGTCTTGGGTTGGAACTTTCCCTAACCTGTGCCCTCCTTCTTGGGGTCAGGATTGGTCCCAGTGTAGGGGGCAGGAGGAGCCCACAGGAGGGGGGGCCCCTGCTCTGTGGCAAGAAGGTAGACCCTGGGCTCTGAGGTCTTGATGGCCAGGATGTGACCCTGCCTCTGGGGTCAGTGGGCGCTCTGGCCATGAGCCTCCCAGGGTTTAGTTTTGTTTGGGGGTGGGGTGGTTCTTCTTATGGCCTGTTTGAAATGTTTCTCTTCCATCTTTCCTTTCCTTGATGGAAGAAGCAGGGCAAGCAATGGTGGTGAAACGTGGGTGTTGGGGTGAGGTGCGTTTCAGCTTATACCCCCAGACCCTCCTGCCCACATGGTGATTAGGGGCGAGTCACTTGACCTCGTGTCCCCCTGTCAAGCCAAGTTTCTCCTAACCGGGCAGGGAGCAGTTTTGCATTTGGCAGTCATTTCTTTGTCGTGGCCGTGGTCCTCCCTGAGCTCCCGTGACAGACTCTCTGTCCCCTGGTTTGATGCCTGTCATTTCAGATCTGCGCAGTTGGAGCAAAGGCACGTTCTGTTGTCACACTGGGCTGGCTGCGCGTGGAGGGAGACTGGGGGGAGAGCTGGAGGAGGGGCAAACTCAGCTCACCCGCGATGCTGACGAGCAAGCCCGGAGACTCTCCAGCTTTTGGGTTTTCTCTCTCCCTCTCTGCCTCCTTCATGGCTGTTTTCCACGTTGCCCCAGGCAGGTCCAGATGAGGGTCTCACCGCCCTAGGGACCCACAGCCAAGCTTTGGTTTCCAAACAAACACAAGGGAAGAACTTAACCCCCAAACATGTCCCTTTCGTTTGGAAGCTACAGACAACAGCGGCAGGCTTGCACTCATATTTTTAAAGGTGCTTTTTGAAAAATGCCAAGCAAGACTGAATTTTAAGTTCAAAGTAGCAGAGAGTCACAGGTTTCTCTATTGTCCCAGATTTTCAAATGGCAAAAACCACAGGAAAGTCGCAAACCAAAATAGCACCTTGATTTCTGCTGGAACCTTTGTTTCCAGGAGCCCAGTGTTTCACCTGGAGGCGTGGCCCCGTTTATCCTCAGAGCTCCTCACTGAGACGGGCAGGAGCCACCTCCTTTCCAATGAGGGAACTGAGGCGTAAGGAGTTGAGTGGCTTGATTAAGACACAGCAGTTATGAGCAGAACTAGGAACAGGAAATGGGTTCCTTGACTTGAGGGCACTGTCTTACTGTTAGATGAGTTTTGGGGGTTGGGATAAAGGGAAGTCCTTATTCCTCAAACCCTGGAATTAGCTGCCCTCATTTCTTTATTCATCAGTGGGGCTAAGCCCGTTAAGTTGCTGGGGAAACGTGGCATGCTGCTGTGCGATAACTCCTCCTTCCTGGCTGTGCTGGGACTGGTGGCCATCTCTCACTCACCTTGGTGCAGTCCAGTCTCTTGTCTTCTCCTGGGGAAATCTGTTCTCTTTTTGGCTCTTGAGTGTTCTCAGAGTCAGAGGGGTTTGGAGACGATGTCAGTTAGGAATCCCTTTGACTGCAGGTAACTGAAAGTCCAATTTAGAGTGTCTTAAACAAAAGGGATTTGTTTTCCTCACATAGCACAAAGGCTTACAGCAGTTACCTGCTGATATTGTCTTAAGGGTTTGACAATATCAGGGCTGGCATCTCTGAGATTTTCTTGGACTTTTCCTCATAGTTGCAAGATAGCTGCTGCAGCTCCAGGTATCACATTCACTTTCAAGGCAGGAAGAGAAGGGTAAGAAGAGTGGCTCCATCTGTAAACATCCCTGTTTATCAAGAAAATAAAAACCTTCTGAGATCCCCTAGCAGACCACTTATGTCTCATAAGCCAGAACTGTGTCATATGGCCATACCTACTGCAAGGCAGGCAGGGAAAGTATTTAGTTTTTTCTGTGTCTGGGGAAGAGGAGGATTGGGGATAGTGTTGGGTTAGGCTTCAGCATTGTCTGCCACAGGAGACTTGCAGAAAACGGACGTGAGAAAACTAATGATTTCCCAATGGAAAAACTTAGTGTCCAGTAAAAATTCATTCATTCAATCATTCATGCATACATACGTACATACAATACACCCATTGCTCAGGTGTAGAAACTGAGGCAGAGAGTTTAGAGTCACATGAGGAGCCTGAAATAAGCCTGATGAGAGAGAAAAATAGCTTTTAATGCCAACTCTGTCTCAGGTATGAGGGGTTCCACACATTTTCCCCTCAGTCCCAATTTTAGTTTGGGCTCTTCATTGTGTCTGAAGGCACTGAGGAGGGTGGGGAAGCCGTTCTCTGGTCCCCAAGCCGAGGGGCCACTGAAGGAGGGGCCGGGGGCCTAGCTGGTGGAGGCGGGCAGCCTGCCTTTCTCTCTTGGCCTGCCTCCTGCCTCCTTACTGTCACTGCCGAGCTTCCTCTCGGGCCTTCCCTCTTGTTCCTGGGAGGAGCATCTGCTGATGTCTGGCTCACCGTGCCTCTCTGTGGTCCTCACCCCAGCTCCCAGCCCCTGGGCCCTTCTGACCTGTCCTTTCCTATTCCAGGTCCCTCGAATCTACTGGGATCTGTCCACCAAGCGGGTCCTTCTGATGGAGTTTGTGGATGGCGGGCAAGTCAATGACAGAGACTACATGGAGAGGAACAAGATCGATGTCAATGAGGTGAGGTCGGGAGTGCATGGCTGCCTGTGAGGGACACGGGCTTGTTGGGGCTGCCCGGCCAGGGAGATGTGTCCAGATGAGGTCTCACCACCTTGAAATGGGGCCTGTTGTCTGAAGAATTATAAAGTCTCTGACCACGAAGCATCCTTCCAGGTCATCCAGTGCAGCCTCTGCCCTGCTTCCTGAAGCTGGGGGTGGCAGCATGCAGTGATGCAGGCATGGGCGAGGCCCTCCCCGCGGCTCCTGCCTGGACATGCAATTTCCATCTGTCTTCTGTACCGTGGGAGCCCCACAGAGCTGAGTGGCTGCAGAAGACAATGGTGCAAAATCCACAGAACGTAATCCTTCTGCCCAGTGGGGCCTGGATACAACTTCCTTCCTCTCCCTGCTCCTCCCCACATCTCAAGGGATCAGGCCAAAAGGGGACAGCAGTAGCCAACTGTATCTGCTTCACAGACCTAGGAAAAAAGGGGAGGCTTCTGTCTCCCACCTCCCACCCCACTGGTGTCAGGGAGAATGGGCCAGTGGTTAGGGGCTGTACCCCATTTTCTTCTTCTTGGTCGCCACAGGTCCCCCAGGTAAGAGTGGAGTTGTACTTTTGCAACAACATTCATCATTTTTATAGTCCCTACTCTGTACTGAGTGTGGGGATTTAGAGGGGAGCCAGACCCAATTCCCGTCTTTGGGGAGTTCACAGCCAAGCGTTGGAGTTAGACACACAACTACATCCTTGTAACCATCTCTTAGGCAGCAGGTGGTATGAGCCAGACCCCAGGGAGCCACAAGGAAGAAGCGTTCACCTCTGCCACAGGTGGCTTCCCAAGCAGGATGAGGAGGAATTTGCCAGGGGTGTGTGTGTGTGTGTGTGTGTTGGGTAGAGGATTTGGGGCATGGAGATGGCGCTGCAAGGAAAGGGAAAGGAGTAGTGAGGTTTGGCAGGGCTAGGGGCAAATTTCTAGGTCAGTGTGGAAAACTAGGGTGGGAGCCAGATGGTGAAGGCCTTGGGTGTGACCCTGGAGGACAGGGGAGTCACTGAAGGGTGATGAGGAGTACAGTGACGTGATCCACCACTCTGGCTGGGTGGGAAGAAGGAATGGAAGGGACCAGACCCAATGGAGGTCAATGCTCTTTCCTATGCCTCCCAGACAACACATGAAGATGAGTATGTGGTCCCAGTGGTGGGATGGCCCAGAGGAGAAAGCCGTACCTTGGCTCAGCAGATGAGCCAGGTGGAAGGCAGGAGAGTGTGCAGATCAGGAGCCCAGGCCTCTGGGTGCCTGTGTGGCCTTTGTTAGTGGGGACAATGGTAGCACCTACTTCCGAGAGGGTTGTAAGGACCACACGAGTTAGTGCTCAAACAGTGCTTAGCACAGTGCCTGGGGATGCTTAGCTCTCCAAAATGGTAGCCAAATGATTATTGTTGTTGTTTTCATTATTATCATCATCGTTGGGCCCTGTCCTTTCCTCCTTTACCTCCTCTTACCGTTAAGGTTAACCGACTGCCCAACTCCCCGTGCCAGGCCATTTCTGCGATATAAACTCAGGAGAGAGGTCTTATCGTCTCCATTTTGCAGATGAAGAATGAGAGACTCAGAGAGGGAAGGTAACTTCTGTAAGGTCCCATGTCTTAATGGTACTCCCAGTGAGTTTTCATATGGCTGTAGCGTGTAGTCACCAGCCAGGTAAAGAAATCATTTCTAGCACTCTTGCAGCTTCCTCACACCCCCTCCCAGTCGATACCCCACCCCCACCAGAGCTACTGCTATTCTGACTTCTGTCACCATAGATCACTTTGGCTTATTATGGAACTTCATATAAATGGAATCATACTGTAGAATCTTTTGGGTCTGACATCTTTGTCATCAGTTGGCTGTGGGTCTTTTCTGGAAGGTCTGTTTTCTTCCACTGGTCTATCCTTGCAGTAATGCCACACTGTCTTAATTACTTAAGCCCTTAATCCCGGTCCCTGGCTTCTAGGGTTTGCATGACCGGAAGCTCTTTGGTATTCTGAGATGATGTCATTAAATACTTCCACAGGAGCCTGAGGCTGGGCCGTGGGCGGTGGGCCGTGTGCTCTCCTGTGCTGTCACCAACCATGGGTGATGTTGGGAGTAGATCACCCACTAGGCCACTAAGGGTGGGCCCTCCTTTACAGAAATTAATCTATTATGCCTCTTACCAACCAGCACCAAAGCCACAGGCCTCGTGGAAGACTAGTGGTGAGTGTGTGTGCACGTGCACGTGTGTGCATGTGTGGAGTATGAAAGACACCACATTACTGAAAGTTTCTAACAGACTTCTGAGGCTCTAAAGTCTCCCGAGGACTGTGGGCCTCAGTGGCCAGCCCCTGGAGCGGCTCTCCCTCCTCAGGACAGCCTGACTCTGAGTGTTCCCTGGGGAGGGAAGTACAAGAGACAGACAGAAGTGACAAGGAGCTAAGATCTCACCCCAAATCCCAGGGGCAGGGTGGTTAGTGGCATCTTGGCTGCAACAAGCTGGCGACCCAGCTGGAAGGTGGGGCTCAGCAGGAAGTGGCTCTAGCAGGAATCACTCCTGAGGTGGGTGGGGATGGCTCCAGACCCCTCCAACCACTTGTTGAGTCATCCCCACTCCACTTTGAAGAGGGCCCCTCACCCTGTAGCATCCCAGCCCAGCTGGGCCTAGCATGTGAGGACTTGAAGACCAGTTTAAGTGGCCAATTCCCAACAGACTTGGGTAGGGAAATACCAGGGTAAAAGGCAAGAGCCCTGGGTTCAAGCTCAAGCTCTGCCAATGACTTGCTGTGTGACCTTGGACTAATCACTCCCCCTCTCTGGGCCTCAGTTTTCTTATTGAAGGCATTGGACTGGCTGGACTCTAAGGGTCTGCCCTTCTTGGATATTTTACAGAACCGTGATTCTCAGCTTGCAGGGAGCTAAGACTTGAACCATCTATTTCAGAATCACTGGAGGAGCTTATTTAACAATGCAAATTCCTGGCCCCCAACCCAAATTTACTAATCAGAATCTAGGGTGGGAAGGGTTGCTGGGTGGCGGGGGAGGGGAGGCGGTTTGCAAGAATCTGCATTTTAACAAACTCTCCAGGTGGTTCAGACATTCACGAAAGATCAGGAACCACCTGCCACAAGGCCGCACGGCCTGGGCTGCGCACATCCAGGCACGAGGCAGCCCTGCCCAGGTGCCTCAGGGAGCCAGCAGCCTGCAGGGGCCCTCGTTTGTTTGCCTCTGATCCCAGAAGCAGCATATTACCGAGGGCCTGACCCGGTGATCATATTTGCCAGTCACTTTAAGAGCTGGCGACAGTGACTGTCACTGATTTCATTAAAAGTAAAGGTCGCGTGGGAGCACACCTCCCCGGGCTGGATGGAGCCTCCTGAAGCCACAGGACAATTATTGATTGCAGAACCATATCGGAGGTTAATTGGATTTCAGTGAGTGTGTGTTTAAGACCCTGCCTGGGCTGAGGCCCAATTGAATTTGTGTGAAATTAGCCGAGAGAAAAGTGACAAAGTTGGAAGTTTGGGGTTGGTGGTGACGGGGACTGGAGGGCTGGTGGGCAGACATCGGCTGTCTGTGAAGAGTGGGGGTGGGTGCAGGGATGGGGGGCTTGCAAGGGACACCAGCCTGTCCATCCCAGAGGCCTGGGAGCCCCTGAGGAAAGAGGGCTGGGGTCTCCCAGGGGTCATCATGAGGACTTTGGTTCAGTCCTCTGTCCTTGGGATGGCCCTCCTGGTATGTGTTGTGGCCTTCAGAGCCTTTTTACCTCCCCAGAGAGTAAATCTCGTCTCTTGTCAGGGTCAGGAGGGCATCTGGGGGTTCAGCTCTTGCTTTGAAAGTCTTTCCTTTGCTCCTCCTTTTTCAAGACCCCGACTCCTGTTTTCCAAGGTGCCGGAGCCCTCAGAGGCTGAGCCTCTCTGGGCTCAGAGGTCAAGGTCCCCCACTGCCGGCTTAGGGTTCCCTATTGTCTAGCCTGTTAAGTCATTTCTCAGTGGCTCTCTGCCTGGACCCCCCCCCCCCCCCCCCCCCCTGGAATCTTGCTAATCTCTTTTTGTCACTGTGGCTGTCGTGGGCCCTTCTCCTCCCTTGTTGGGGGGGGGGGGGGTCTTTGTCTTTTTGTTTCTATTAGAATGATTTTAGTGGGGGTGCGGAGGGAGTGGAATCAACGCCTGGGTTCAGTTGGCCACATTCGGCAAGAACCACTTGCCACGCTTCTTTCCATTCGTTTTAAAATCCATTCCGTGTGGCTGTAGGAGCCATGGAAGGGTCTCAAAAGCATCTTTCAGCAGATGTCTGTCGGGCACCCACGATGTACTGTGCTGCATGCAAGCGCTACAATAGAGGTGTGCACGGATGTGGGAAGTGGGGCTGGGGGAGGCTTCCCCGAGGCTGGCACTGTGCCGGGCGGGGCAGAGGGCTTCAGAGCTGGGACCTCTGGGGTTGTGTCTGGCTCTGCCATATATTGGCCAAGTGCCTTGGGTATGTTACTTAAACTCAGAGTCTGAGTTTCCTCATCTGTACAGGAAATAACAACACTTCGCAGGGTCGTGGTGCAGACTTTGCAGGCTGTGAAGTTCTGTAAAAAAAAAAAAAAAAAAGTCGTTTATAATTCACGAGGTGATTATTCACAGAGGCATGTCTTCCTCTTCAGATCTCTGAGAATCTTCTTTGCTCCCCTCCTGTCCACCTACCTCTGTTGTCCGTGAATGTCTAGACTGGAGGGCAAGCAGTGGTCATCGGCTGAGCATATGGGGACTCCCCTTCGGCCTCTCTAAAAGCCATGCTGCAGTTAGGCCAAGTTTCCCGTGTCCCCCGACACCACCTTGGGTTGAATAGGATGTTTACTTTCTGCTCTGCATCCTCTCCCACTTACTGGGGCTCTCTGGCTTGGTGAGAGAAGGTGCTCAGAAGACCAGGGAAGAGAAGCTGGAGAGCCATACAGACGCTAGCTAGTGAAGTCACTAGAAAGAAAACCTCCTTTTACCGTCCACCCTCCATGGCTTCTCAGGCCGAGTTTTGAGAAGCTCGCGATGTTAGAGAGGTCCCATCACAGGATGGGTTCCTGGATATTTGTTTCCCCAACAGCTAGGGTGTCAGGAGTGGGGAACAGTGTTGCTCTAGGATCAGCCTTCCTGCATTCTGCTGCTGGCTGTGCTACTTACAAGCCATGCTACCTTGGCTTTGTCACCTTTGGAAGCCCAACTTCCTATTGTAAAGTGGGGTAGTAGCCCTAGGATTGTTTGATGGTTGAAACATGAAGTGTTTGGCACAGTGCCCACGGTATAATCTCAACACAGTACATGTTCAACGTTGGAATTCCAACCCTTGGCCCTCTCTGTGGTGCTAGCAGCAAAATATTTGCCAGAAGAAGGGGAAACATGTAGGGAAGAAACCCTTTCCCCATTTTTTATATTGACCCAGGTAAGATGGAAGGATGTGGAAATATTTCTTTGGAGTCAGTTCTTGCCTGAGGCAAGGGATGTCAGCTGTCAACAGCTCTTCCTCCCTTTGCTATGTCTTCCAATGGCCATGGCCCTAGGACCCCATCCCTCTGGTAGCCATGACCCTCTGAGTCTGTCTGGCCAGGAGACCTGCGGAGCCCTGTTGGCCTTGTGGATGCCCCATGCCCTGGCTCTCAGGTGATGTCCCAGTTCAAGCCTAACCTAGAGAAGCTTTCTCCAAGCTGCCCAGAAGCTCCAAAATTAGAGTAACTCCCCCAGTTTCCTGTAATTAACCCGGCACCTCTTCTTTCTTCCTCGCCACCTCTCCTGGCACCATGTGTGGCTGAAGAGGTTCTCTGTGTCTTCGTGTTCAGGGATTTCATCTCAGCGTTTCTGGTCCAAGATTGACCCACTCACCCCGTGAATAGATTTGGCCTTGTGCTGGGCAGTGTAAGTAATCTCAGGTTTATATATCCCAGGGGTGGGGTGGGGTGGAGGGTAAATGCTCAGGGCAGTGGTCTGGTCTAGTCTTTCTGCCTCTTGTTCTGCCTCAAGAAGCCTGGGCAGAAAGTGGGGGAAGAGCAAAGAGAGTTTGAATTATTAACCTATTTATACTTAATATTGGGCTACTTATGTGATTGCTAACATCCTGCAACACCCACCCCCTGTTTTCTTTCAGAGCTCTTGGCCTTGCTTCCATGACAGCCCCCAAGAACATAAGTAGACTTTCCCTTGGGGGTGGGAATAAGTTAATCCATGCAATTATAGAATAATTAAAGTACTTTCAGCCAATTCAAGATTTGAGAAAAATACAAAAATAACTCCTTGATTTCAGTATTACTTACTAAGTTAATTCTTTACTTAGCCTTTTTATAGATTCCTGTTTCTTCCCCCCTCCCTACGGTTAGAGAATAAAGGCATTGCATAATTATTGAAATCACTTACATGAGTGGCACATTCTTTTTATGCGGCGGGAGTAAAGGACTCATCACTGACTTTTTTCCTGAAAAGAGCTATACTATGGCTTTAGTTCACAGAGAGTTTTTGGTTAGACAGACAGTCCTGGGTTTCCCACTGACTTCTCCACATGGCATGCCTTCTTGGATGCTGTGGGGACCTTCAGAGAGTTTTGCTGCAGCCCCTGCCTCCAGCGGGGAGCTTCCCTGTGAGTGGAGAGGCAGGATGGCCTGGCGATGAGAGGTTGTCCCCTGGACCCAGGACACCTGGGTTCGGAGCTGGTTTCCCCAGCTGCTGGTCAGGTGACCAAGCTTCTTCCCCTTCTTGTGTCTCGCGTCCTTCACCTGTCTACCGCAGAGGATGGCTGGGAGTCCATGTAAAGTGCAGGAATGGTGCCTGGCACAGAGTGTTAGCTGTTACCTTTCTAAAAGGGTGGTGCTCCTTTGTCTTTATGTGGATGCCACCGTTGACAGGGCAAGGGACAGCCTGAGAGCAACTCAACTCATTTTTCCAAAGAAGTCATACAAATGGCCAACAGGTACATGAAAAGGTGTTCAGCATCACTAATCATCAGGGAAATGCAAATGAAACGCACAATGAGAGATTACCTACCCGACACCTGGCAGACTGGCTATCATCAGGAAGACAAGAGATAACCGTGCTGGTGAGGATGTGGAGAAAAGGAGCCCTTGTGCACTGTGGGTGGGAATGTAAACTGGTGCAACCACTATGGAAAACAGCATGGAGGTTCCTCAACAAATTAAAAATAGAACTACCATATGATCCAGCAATTCCCCTTCTGGGTATATATCTGAAGGAAATAAAATCAATTCTCTGGAAGAGGTATCTGCCTCCATGTTCATTGCAGCGTTATTTACAATTGTTTGTTCTTAATCACGGGACATAGCTAAAGTACTATGGAACGGGAGGGAGAGAGGGTTGTGGGCCCAATGATGCCTTTAGGTTTCTCCTGGGACCCTTGCTGCATCTTTAAGTAGGAGGGGCTGGCTTCTTTTCTCTGGGCAGATTGGTTCCCAGGACTATTTAGTGCAACTCTGGTAGACGTTAAGAAAAATTACCCAAAATTCCGCAATAAGGCCAAGAATACGCAGTGTGTCCTTTCAAAGTCATTTTTGAGTATTGTTCAACCAGCCCACCCGAGGATTTTTAATATCTAGGGGAATGTACTTTTGTTTGACTTTGCTATTGACAATTAATTAAGGGCTCAGACTGAAGTCATATGTCAGCCTGTAGATCTTATCCAGTAGAGATGCAAATAATTTCTATGCAGTAGGAAAGATAACCCCAAAGGTTATGATTTCCTTATTGCCCTGTAGGACAATAACCAGTTTTGTATCTAATCCAGGAATCTTGGGTCTCTTGTTCCTGTTTAAATGCCCATAAATACCCCGTCCTTTAAAATTCTCTTTGAACCAGCTCTACCATCTCCCTTGCTCCTTTATTGATGAGTTAAACAATCTTTGACGTGTGTTCATTCCATATCTGTAAGAGAGTAGTGTTTTTAACTTTTAGAAAATTACACTTTGACGGTGATAATGGGTATATTTTTTTCCAAGTGTAAAATAATAAGCTACCACATTACAAAAACCCTCACATTTGTGTGTCTTATGGTGTAGGTATAAAGTGCTTTCCCATATGCATTTTGATCACATTTTGACCTTGAGTCTTGAGGTTGCTCTGTGAGGAAGTAGAGCAGATGGGGTTAGTCCCACTTAACAACTAAGGGAGTTTGGACCCAGACTGAGAAGGGAGGTGACTTGGCCCCCAGGCCACCCACGCCCTAAGTGGCGGTACCAGGAGGCTCCAGTGGGAAGCCAGTGGCATAGGCTGGTTCCCCCTTCTGTCTCTGCCTTGCATAGCTGCCTATCCTGGTTAAATCTGGTTAAAACGAGCATCAGGAAGAGCCCCCACATGGGAAGACACCCAGGGAGGGGCGGCCGGCTGTGGTGCTGAAATGGGGGGCCGCTCTGGTGGCTCCGTTCATGGGTATCTGAGCTGCAGTTGGCAGTGCCACCATGTCCTTCCCCTCCTCTGGCAGCAGCAGCTCACTCCTCGTGGGCATCGGCTCCCCCATCCCGAGTCCCCAGACCCCTGGGGGCCATCTTTCAATGTAGTAATAGGGAGCCCAGAACGATTAGCAATATTTCAGAAGGCGTAAGGGAGATCATACATCTCCCTATGACAGCTTTGCCCAGACTAAATGAAATGTCATTTCTCCGCTTTTGGCTGGAATTCCATCAGCTCAGTCTGGCTGCACAGCTTATCTTGGGCCGATCAGGAGCCCTGATTAGACCTTTTATGCGTCCTTGACAAATAAAAATGAATTATTACTTAATAAATGCAATTGGTTTGGCAGATACCGCCTTTCAGAGCGTGGCTCCTTGGAGCTCCAAAGAGCCTGACAAAAGGGGTTCTCAGTGGCCCAGCATGGGGACCTGGCCCACCCAGGACCAGCTCTGGCTGGGGCCCCTCTCTGAGGAAACAGAGAATGGTGGCTCTGGGACACTTGACGTCTCAGCCTGAGTCTGAAAACTTGACCCAGGGCAAAGTCTTGCTCCGAATGCTGACATTCATCTTCCCCCGGGGAAAACCCAGTCAGGATCTGAGAGCTGGTGTCATGGCAGGGCACAGTGTGACATCGGAGAAGTCTCAGGACTTTAGATGCCTCTTTAACCCCAGAGGCACATCTTAAAAAGGTACAATGAAACCTACTCTGCCGCCCTCGCAGGAACATTATGTGGAATCAGTAAGAACAGGGGCACCTGTGAGAGGTCACTAGGCTCCAAGCCCCGTGATATTCTCATTTACCTGCAGTGGCCCTTGAGAGCGGCACTATGATGATTTCCTTTTTGCTGAAGCTGTGGGTATAAGCAACTTGTTTAAGGTCACTAGGTTCACTTGAGAAGTGCCGCAGTCGGTGTGAGCCAGTGTAACATCATAGTTACTAGAAGGCTGGGGGCGGGGGGGCTTGTCACACCTAGTTTGAATCCTGTCTCTACCTCTTTATTGTCATGTAGCTCCAGGTAAGTTAAATATTGACAGGTTTCAGTCCCTCATCTGCAAAATGGGGATCATAATTGTACCAACTTTTAGGGCTGTTAATAAGGATGTCAGTTATTGTTGCTAACATAGGGTTATTCTTGATGATGCATTTTGGGGCCAATTATAATCAGTTGGGATTCAGAGGAGATTAATGGGGCTAGGATGAGCGTCAGAGGTAGGAACCATGACATCTCAGAAGAACACGGAGAGACAAGGTCTCATGTTGAAGGCAGAGTCCTTTGTTCACACGTTTGGCCTGTTACAGGCGAGTGGGTGCATAATAGAGCCATTTTATGGTATGTAAATTACACCTCAATAAAGCTGTTTAATAAAATAGAGCCAGTCCCTGCCATCTTGGGAGCCTATGATTGCGGGCTAGGTGGCCATTATCAAATAATGACACAGATAGAGTACTAGGGCCATGAAAGGAAAGTACCGTGTACTATGAGAGTTTATGGCAGGAGAACCTCATCTGGTCTTGGAGGTCAGGGAAGGCTTCCCCAGGGAGGTGATGCTGAACTGGGGTGGGAAGGAAGAGAGGAGTGAGTGAGCCAGGTGAAGGGGAGAGGGGAGGAATGCTCTTAGCAGAGGGAGTATCATGTGCAAAGGCCCTGAGGTAGGAAGGCACAGGGATCATTGGAGGAGAGAGAGCAGATTTGGCTGGAATGTCATTGTGGTACAAGATGAGACCAGGGAGGGAGGCTGGGCCTGGTCGTGCAGGACTTTGTAGGCCAAGGAAAGGAGTTGAGTCTTTATCCTAATACCCCACCCTGTGTTCCCCACCCCAGCTCCTCTCCTCTGGCTGGGATATGTTTGTTAGTGACCATGGGATGCAGCTGAGGCTAAGAAGAATGCCAAGGGCAGCGTGTGTCCTGGGGTGTCATCTTTCTGGGTTGAACATCTCTTTGTCCTGTGGAAACCCATCGGCAGACCATCTGTGGGCCCAGGTCTGGCTCTTTTCAGCAGCTGTTCCCTAGCTGGGAAGCGGCTTTTAGCTCTAATAAAAAGGGAGTAGAGATAAGAAGACCGCCTCGGCAGAGAGAGCAGCAGTGACAGGATGATTTAAACGGCCTCTCCAGTGTCATTTCTTCTGGGCAGACATCATAAATCAGATTAACATTGGGCTCTGGCGGGGAGGGGAGGAGGGAAAGGGGCCTGCAGGGCAAGGGGAGAAGGGCTTGTGACTCCCGTTTGCCTGGGACTGGCCTGGAGCTGGGGGGAGGGGAGCAGCCCCAGAGGGCGGTGGGCTCACCTCTTCCTGGTGCTCAGTCCCCTAGTCTTGCTCTTTGGGGAAGGGGCACGTGGAGCGACTGCTCCCTGCCTCCCTGTCCCAGCTCTCCATTCGGCTTTGGGGGAAAAATGAAGAGGGTCTCGTAAGAGACTAGAGGAGAGAAAAGTGGGGCAAGAGTGGAGGGGCGGGTGTGCGAGGTGGGAGTTACAGCCATTGGAAAAACCAGAAGCAGAGGGTCTTCTACCTTGCTATGCATTAACATCATGTGGGAACTTTAAAGAAAAATACTGATGCCTGGGTACCACCCCCAACATTTCTGAGCTCCAGGTGATCCTAATGTGCGCCTAAAGTTAAGAACTGGGTTGGAGCTTAGCTTCTACCTTAAACTCAAGAACGCAGACTCTCAAGCCATCACTTCCACCACGACTGCTCAGGCCCCCTTGGTCCCTCTGGCCTTCCTTTTGAGAGTGACCAGGTTGAAGGGCCTGAGTAGAAGTCTCTGAGACGGGTATTAATGCGACACAACTCCCACCCGCCTCCCTTCTCTTTCAGATCTCGCGCAACCTGGGCAAGATGTACAGCGAGATGATCTTTGTCAATGGCTTCGTGCACTGCGACCCCCACCCGGGCAACGTGCTGGTGCGGAAGCGCCCGGGCACGGGAGAGGCAGAGATTATCCTGTTGGACCACGGGCTCTACCAGGTAGGAGACGCCTTTCCCACCCAGCCAGCCCCAGGGCCTGCTGTTTTCTGGGCTCAGAGCCTGCTGAGCTCCTCTATCGACTACAGAAACGGGAGGCAGATAGACAAGGTGGTCGGAGAGGGCCCTGCCATACCCTTGGAGATGGCATTCCGTGCAAGTCACAGTCCTACGAGTCCAGCCTCAGCTTCCTCCCCAGTAAAATGGGTTGATGATGCCTCCTTTACAGGCGCTGTGAGGAGGGCATGGGAATGTGCCTGGATGTGTGAAAATGCTTTACAGCTATAAAAAGCCCTGCTTCCCAGGGAAGCCCAGGCTAGCCCAGATCCCGGGAAGGGAGCCGCCTGAAGGTGAGCTGGCACTTCAGGGGAAGGGGTAACTCAGCCCCGGTGAGGATGTCAAATGTAGTGGCAAAGGGAGCCTGGAACTGAGATGGGCTGGATGGCCCCACACTCTGTCCTCTGGAACTTGGGGTGCAGAGCTGGTTCCAGTGAGCCACGAGTTCCTGCCTGGAAGTTGGGAAGTTCACTGCCAATCCTGGTACCTGGGGCCTGGCTTGATTCCATGAGGCAGACGGTCCCAGGGAGTTTTCCTGGATGGTCTCCTGCTCCTCCCCTCAGGGCCCTGATCCCATACCCTACAATCTTGGCCTCTTTTGAAAGGCTCAGTGATGTTGGGATTGTTAGTGGAAGGTAGGCTAGCTACTGTCACACACAGCCCCCAAGCGAACCCTGGCCCAGACACAACAGACGTCTAATTGCTTGCTCACAGACCAGTGCTGGGTGCGTGGAGGAGTCTGAAGGCAGGGGCTGACCGAGGCCCTGCCTCCCAGCCTCCCTGGGGCTGGTCCCACCATCCGCCAGGAGCAGGGGTGAGGGTTCAGAGAGCATGCATGGGAAAGTTTTCATGGGCCGGGCCTGAAAGTGGAGCTTCTGCCACATTCCATCGGTCAAAGCTGAGGCAGGGCCACATCTAACTAGGAGGGAGGCGGGAATGTGGTTTTGGTGGGTGGTTGGCAGTCTCTGCTACTCAGGACCAAGGCAGGCCGAATAGTAGCTTTGAACTTGGACCTTCGGGGGGCTGCACTTTGGGGGAGAAGCAGGCATTGTTCAGGAGCTGCCATCTTCATCCTCCCCCCTTCACAGTGGCCACACCAGCCAGGGACTAGGTCTCTCCTGGGGTGAGGAGGCTCAGGTCCTGCCACGGCTGCCCCCACTGTAGGTGCTCACGGAAGAGTTCCGCCTGGACTACTGCCACCTCTGGCAGTCGCTGATCTGGACGGACATGAAGAGGGTGAAGAAATACAGCCAGCGCCTGGGAGCCGGCGATCTCTACCCCTTGTTCGCCTGCATGCTGACCGCCCGGTCGTGGGATGCCGTCAACAGGGGCATCGGCCAAGCTCCAGTGACTGCCACTGAGGTAATGGTCCCCTCCTGGCCCTACCCTCTCCTGAATTTAAGGGGTAGGGTCGGAGATGGCCTTTGGACCCCTTCCAACCCAGAGTCTAAGGTTCTAGACTGGTGGGCTGTGGAGATGTGTGGTGGGCAGAATTGGAGTTATACTGGATGAGAAACAGCGAGAAACAGTGTCCCTGGATGGAAGGAGGGAAAGGGAACCTTATCCCACTGTATCCCTCCTGGCCTTATCAACCTGGGGTATAAAAAGGTCATGTTAACCGTGTAATCCAGACTTCTGTGGTTTTTGCTCCAACCTGCTCCCATAAGATTTCAGGCTTCCTCCAAGTTCGCACCCAGGACTTCTGGGAGTCCCCGGGGACTGTCTCGTAAATAAGTCTGGCACCACTTCCGCCATCTCCTGGTGGGCATTGTCTCCCCCCTTGTGGTCCCTCTAGGGCACCCTGCCTGGGGGAGAGCTTCAATTCTTCATGTCGTACTCAAGCAGTGCTGCTTGTCCCATTGTCCTGTGGGGTTTTTAGTGAAATAGCTTTTTTGGTCTTCCTTTGTAGCTCATTTTTCTACTGGATCTAGACAAGAGTCCCATGGAGGCTGAGCTGAGACTGGTCCTAGCGGCACCTCCTCCTCGTACTCATCCTAACCTCTGCCCCCACAACAGGGATTTATGGGGTATCTCATTCTTCCTGGCTCCGCATGAGCTCCCTCCCGGGCTTCTCAATCCCTCGTGGACTTGACTTCTGTCTTCCCAGGCTGTCAGGTTGCAAGACCCATGCAGACTTACCTGTATCCACGTGGGGACGGGCTTGGGCTCAACCGAGGTCCCTGCTCACCACAAGGGTCGCGGTCCTGCTTATGCAGTCAGAAAGCCCTGGGTTCTAGTTCCAGCACCTGCTCTTCCTGGTGGCATGACCTTGGATAGTTCTTGTCACCTCTTTGAGCTTCAGCGTCCTCCCCTGTAGGCTGCCTTATGATAGGGGGCTTGAGGAATGACTGGATCCAGAATCTCAAATGATGTCACCAAAGGGATCACCTCTCGCCATCTCTTGGCTCTGCTTTCCTCCAAGTTGATGTCATTCCCCAGCAAGGTTGGGGGCAAAGATGACCAGCAGTTGCTCCAGGCTTACAGTTTAAAGCCTGTCGTCTCAGAAGAAGAGCGACAATCTCCTTCCTTTATTGAATGGAGGTGATAATTTCGGCTTTATTGATAATGCATGTGAAGTGCTTCCCTATAGTTCCTGAAGTTTGTTCATTGAGCATACATTTGTTTTTGCTGGACCCTGGGCTAGGTGCTGAAGATCCAATGATGAACAGACAGACAGGCCTTCCATGTAATTTGCACTGTGGTTGAGGGAGACAGACAGTAAGCAAGTGAACAAGCAGGTAGATGGAATAATTGCAGGTTGTAGGTACCAGGAGGAAACAAGCAGGGTGCCGTGGTGGTGAGTAATGGGGGGTGCTGTAGATTAGATGCTCTGAGAGCATCTCGCTGAGGAGTTGACATTTAAGCTGAGGCCCGAAGGACAAGAAAGGCACCAGTCACAGGAAGAGCTTGGAGAAAGCATTCCAGGCAGAGGGTACACGATGTGCTAAGGCCAGGGACAGAAAGAGTTTAGTACAGTCTGGAATGTGGAGAGGTGGATGGTGGAATGAGAAGAATTTGGAGTGCTGGGCAGGGAAAGCATCCTTCATAAGTCATGGGAAGAAGTTCCGATTAATTCTCAGTACAAAGCGAAGGCTTTCAGTGGGAGAAGGACGTGCTCAGCCTTGCTATTTTAAGTATCTCTCTGGAATGGGGCAAGATGAGCAGGAGGGCAATTAGGAGGCTGGGGCAGGACTCCGGGTGGAGAGATGATGGAGGCTCAGACTATGCTCATGGCAATGGAGCTGCAGAGAAGCAGATGGAGCTGAGGCGTGTTTTGGATATGAGATTGAGAGGCCTTTCGGTTGGCTTGGGTGTGCAGAGGAGTCAAAGTTCCATCATAGCTTTTGGGGGTGAGTTATAGGGTGGGCGTGGTGCCACTTCCTGACATAGGGAAGATTGTGGGAAGGACATATTTTGGGTGGGGGTCGTCAGTAGTTCTCTTGAGCATTCAGGTAGAGGTGTCAGGGCAGTTAAGCCTGGAACTCAAAGTAAGAGATCCAGGCTCGAGATATCAATTTGGGGATCCTCAGCGTATAGATGGTAGTAAAGCCACAAGATGGAGAAGATCACGTGGCACACAATAGGGACTGAGTAAATGCTATTCGTTTTTATTGTTAGGATTTTGTATTTGCATTCTTATTCATTCATAAAGACTCAGCATAAATCCTACTGTATTAGTTTGCTTGGGTTGCCATATAGAATACCATCGAGTGGGTGGCTTAAACAGCGGAAACCTATTTTCTCACAGTTCTAGGGGCTGGAAGTCCAAGATCACGGTATCAGCAGGGTTGGTTTCTGGTGAAGCCTCTCTTCCTTCTTGCAGACGGCCGCCTTCTCCCCGTGTCCTCACATGGCCTTTCCTCTGCGTGGACACACTCCTGGCGTCTCTTCCTCTTCTTCTAAGGATGTCAGTCCTGTTGGATTAGCACCCCCTACCCCATGAATGCACTTATCTTTCATTACCTCTTTAACCACCCTGTCTCCAAATACTGTCACACTGGGGTTAGGACTTCAACACAGGGATTTGTAGGGGACACAATTCAGTCCATAAATGAGTCCGGGAAGCGTCTCCTCATCGCTTTGCCAAAAGTGATCCCTTAATACTTGCATCACTCATGTGCGGGCCCCTCACTCTCCCTTGCACGGTAGTTATTTGTATGCTTATGTGAGCTCTCTAACTAGTTGCTGAGTTCCTGGAGGGCATCAGTCCTGTCTTGTCCATCTTTTTATAATGTCCCTGCAGCCCTGGGACCAGATCCACTAGAGAGAGGCATTTGTGTAGGTTCTGGGGACATGGACCCCATTTCCTCACTTTGTACAAAAACCCAGACAGAGAATGAACTTAGCCACTCCAGGCCATCCTCCAAGCTGTGAGGCCTCAGTTTTTCTGAGTCCTAGTCTTATTAAAAATTAGGGGAACCTCCAACATTGTATCAGAGGGGATGTTTTCCCAACTAAGTGGGGCTTAAACAATTAGGGATTTGTTCTCTCCGTTACAAGACACCTGGAGGTGGGTGTGTCCAGGTTGGTTAATTGAGCAGCTCGAGATCTCAGGGCTCTGGGCTGACCCCTCTGTGATTCTCTTGGCGTTCCTCTCGTGAGTTCAAGATGACTGTGGCAGCTCCAAGCCGTACATCTTTATTCTGTGCTGTCCTGAGGTGGGAATAAGGGGCTGTTTCTTCTCATGTATCATTTCTTAAGAGCAAGAAAACTTTTCCCAGAAGTCCTCCAACAGACTCCGCCTCATGTCCTGTTAGCCAGAATCATGTCACATGTCTGTGCTGAAACTGATCGCTCGGCGGAGTTGTTGAACTCAGAGCCGACGTTGGCTGAGATCATCGGGACTCCCCCATGGGGCTCGGGAGAGGCTCCGGCTCCCTGGAGAGCACAGCCCCAAGGACTCAAGTGAACCAACATGGGGTCCATTTAACAAAGGAGACTGGGGGGATGGCTGTTGGGTAGCCACCCAGTGGGGTATACTGCAGACACCCACCATCAGGAGACGTCCAAGCTTGAAGGTGGTGCCGCTCTCACAGATGCCCCTGTGAGGCAGCCTGGCTGGGCACAGGTGCTTTATATTTGGGCTGAGAGGGGCTGTCAACAGGCCAGTCCTGACCTTGCTAGAGGGGGGTCCCTGTGGTGAGCAGGGCCTTGATCTGGCCTTTACCCTCGGGCAGGGTGACCTGCACTGTGGTGGGAGGCAGCAGGGAGCCAGACAGCCTCTTGGTGTCTGGCTCCGTGTTGAGATGTTCCAGTCTGATAGCTCCTGCCTGAGGGACTTTCAAGTTGCACAGTGACGCAGTTATCAGCCGTGCACAGGTGTGCCTGACAGGGCTGAGAGGAGGTGGCCGGTGGGGAAGCCTTTGGCAGCACCGCTGGGCCCCTCACTGTGACTTCAGTTGGCGCCTTGCACCTCCCCATACTTTATTTCTGATGACCCTCCCTGTACCACTAGGTGATGGGCACAGAGGGCATTAGCCTTCCTGTTTTTAGGTGAGGACACTGGGTTGGAAAAGATGGAAGGACTTACCCAGGGTCACACCATCCACTGTGAGGTGAGAGGCAGTATACTCTGGTGGTGAGGGCGCAGGCTTGGGAGCTGGACTGCCTGCGTTTGAACCCTGACTCACCACTTATTAGCTGTGCCCCTTGGGCAGGTTATTTAACTTCTCAGTGCCTCAGTTTCCCCCTCTCATATAGGGGTAGTACACTCACCTGATAGGGTTGTTGTGAAGATTAAATGAGTTAATCCGTGCAAACATTGTACTCCGTGAATGCTCGGTATGTGTGGGCTATTGTCGTTGTTGTCATCATCATTGTCTCTCTGGAGACTGAGAAGGAATCGGAGCCTCAGTGTCATACTCAGGACTCTGGCTAGGGGCACTTATCTGCCCAGAGCCATGCAGAGCTCAAGGATGGGGAAGGGTGGGAAGGCAGACCCCAAACTTACACACAGGATGGCGCGAAGGCTAGCCCTGGATCCTGCTCCAGGGTATGAGGACCTCGGGCACTGGGTGGGCTGAGACAGTGATGGGCGGTGGTTGTGTGGGCAGCAGGGGCTCTGGGTGGGTCTGGTGGGGCAGGGGCTCGGGCAGGGTCTGGGGCAGGACTCTGAGCTGGGTTGGGGTCAGGAGCTCAGACCTATGAACTGCACCAGCCTGGGCTTGGCTGAGGGGGTGGGGGACAAGACAGCCAGTAACAGCTTCCAGGGCTCTTTCCAGGCCTGGTCTGAAATTGGCGGTCGGGGAAGAAGCCTTGGAGAGTAAGGCCAGGGTGGACCCCTGGGCTGAGAGGCTGGTTACTTCCAGCCTCATCCAATGGGTGATGGGGAGCTAGACTTCCTGCCTCAGTCACTCCTGGCTTGGGGGCTTGGGCAATGGGTACTGGTGACTGTGGCTGTGGGGAGCCAGGGATGGCAGAGGCGGCAGAAATGCGGCCCAGCCCCTGTCAATGTTCTCCTGTACTGTGTCCTGTGATTGGCCAGAAGTTGGGGTGAGACATCCCATCTAGGTTTTTCAGGCTACAAAGCCCCCTGTGCTAAGCTGCCCTTTGGCGAGGGCTCCTAGTGGTGCCGAGGCAGCCCTCCTGAAGCTCCCTCCTGGAGCTTCCTTGCATCCCCTCAGGGCACAGGCTGCCTGGACACCTGCCACCCTGGGCCTCACTTGCCACACCCACCATCCATTTCTGTCTCCCTGTTGCTGCTTCAGGACTCAGAGATCCGCAACAATGCGGCCAACTACCTGCCCCAGATCAGCCAGCTCCTCAGTCACGTGCCACGCCAGATGCTGCTCATCTTCAAGACCAACGACCTGCTGCGTGGCATTGAGGCCGCTCTGGGCACCCGTGCCAGCGCCAGCTCCTTCCTCAACATGTCACGTTGCTGCATCAGAGCGCTGGCCGCGTGAGTGTGGGCTCCAGCTTCTCCTCTCCTTCTGGCTCCCTGGCCTGTCCCAGAGGTCCCACTTACCTCCACTTCCTCCCGTAGTCCCCAGGGCCCTGCCTGAGCTTCCCAATCTCCCCATCTCCCTACAGGGAGTTAGTGAACTGAGTGATGCTTTTGGATGCTCCAGAGAGCCACCTGTTCTTGTTAAAATAATGGATTCTAGGATCCCACCCTACCTGTCAAGCTTTACCCTTAGTAAAGTTTGAAATGTTTTCTGAGAGTTTCAGTCCCATCCGAGTGTCCCCTGGGCTTGAATTCAGGAAGCCCTGATGCACATCCCACCTCTAACTGGTCCTGGGACCCGTCTCCCCAGGATTGGCCAGGCAGCAAGGCCAGTATCCTTTTCCCTGTCAGTGTGACTGTGACTCCAGGAAAGTGTCACCAGCAGGCTTTCTTGGGATCTCAGATCTTTTTGGATGCCTCATCACCCTTGGGGTGTTGATGAGGAAGGGAATGGTGCTTCCTCAGGAAGGTAGTGGCAGAGGAATAAGGGTTCTAGGCCTTTCCACCTGAGGGTGGTGAATACATGGGAAGGCCCATGCTGTGGCTGCATGTTCTCACCCGAGAGGGGAGGCCTGGACTGTGGTCAACTCCGAGCCTATCCATCCTAGGCGAGGAATGGGTCATTCTGGGAAACTGGTGAAGGAGAGTGGACCACATATATCATGTACCCACTATCAAGTATGGAATTAGATTACAGCAAAATAGACGGTATGAGGAAAGGGCGGAACGTGATTTATTCTTCCTCTGAGGGTTCAGGAAGCAAAGTCCTGAATAGGTTATCACCGTAACACCAATCTCATCGTGGCCTTTTGTTGGTGCAGAAGGGCTTGAGCTGGGCTGAGTCTCAGGACCAGCCTCCCAGGACCACCTGACCAAGTTTCCAGGTGACTCTTACCCATAGAAAGTTTGGGAAAGCTTTTATATTTGAGTCTGGGGGCTTCTGGATTGGCATATATTCACTATACTTTTGGAAGAAGAGAAACATTGGATTGTTCTACTCAGTGGGTCCACTAGGCCCTTGATACCCTGTGAAACTACAGCATTTGCTTACCTGGCTTATCTGGAAAACGCCTTTGGTACAGTTGCGTTCCGCTGGTCCCTGATTGGACGGTGGTATGATCACGTAACCAGGAGTCGTCCACTGGAACAGGGAGCTGGCGAGTTGGCAAAGCCACCATCTTCCATTTTTCTAAAGGATACTGAGTGTTTCTTGCCTCTTTCTCTCTTGTTGTCTTCTTCCTCCTGTAGGCACAAGAAGAGGAATACCTGTTCGTTCTTCAGAAGGACCCAGATCTCTTTCAGCGAGACCCTCAGCTTATGGCAGATCAACCTTCATGAACTCGTTCTGCGTGTGAAGGGGCTCAGGCTGGCCAGCTGGGTCTTGGCCCTGCTTTGCTGGCTGTTGCCTGCTCCACACTGAGTGGACTTACTGCCCTCTTCCCCTTTACAGTGTGACCCTATGGTGGGCAAGAGGTCTTCCTCACTCCTCTCTTTCCTCATGTCTCAGTTGCGCCGTTTCTGCCACATGGTGGCCTGGAGCCCCACGGTCACTGTCCGTGGCCCCGTATATTCCACCTCTGGAATTCCTCTCCCCCACTGTAGCCCTTGTCTCTGGGCCCACATGCTGTACCATGCAATAGGTTTCTCTGCTTATCCAGGGAGAAGGTACCGCTGTCTACTTTCCCACTCCTGGTATGTGCCATTGGGTTGGATGCCTCCCACTTCCGTTAACCGTTCCTATTGTCAGGAGGGACCATGATTCCCACTGAGAGCATATTTAACTTGTAGGAAGTTTGACTTTGTTGGAGGGGTGCATGGTCTCTGAGCTCGCTAGAGAACAGGTTCCCTCTCCTTGCCCTTCACTCCCCGTAGGGATCACCCCTTCGCAAGGTGCTTGGCACCTGAGGCAGGCTCTGTTGAGTCGTGGTGACCCCTTTGGTGTTTTGTGTGCTGAATTTCAATAAAAACCCTTCAGGTTGCAGGGCAGGGCTTGGTCAGTGGGATTTTTATTCTAGGTTGTGAGTGAATCCTCTGTGGCCATTAGGTAAGAGTTGACCTGGACGCCACATGCCATTGTGATCTGCTTGGCTTCTTGCCCCTGTATCCTTCAGCCTTCCACTGTGGGGCCACTTCCTGCTCCTTGTAGGTTCTGTCCCTTTCCGGGACTGAGCGCTTGGTCGGAAGAGTTGAGGAGACCGAGGCCAGGAACTCGGAGGCTCAGCTGAAACCATGGACTTTCGTTCCCGTGGGTTCTCACCTCATTCTCTGTGACCTGGGCACCCGTCTTGTTCTACTAATTGCTTCCTGACTTGACCCTTTGGTTCGTCATTCGAAGCACCCAGTCCTGAAGACTAGTCTAAACCCGTCACTGTGACTCAGTCACTCTGAAACCTGCTTGTCCCCTGCCTGGACTCTGTTCTCCCACCTTATTGCCTGCTGTCAGCCTGCCCCTTGCCCAGCTCGATCATCTGCTCCTGTTCCTGGGAGCCCCAGACTCCTGCTCTAACTCCTGATCTGTGGTCTCAGGTCCCCAAGACCTCAGATTTGGCTGGTCCTCGCTCCCACTGAGCACCCATGCTCACAGACAGTAATTGTATTTGAGTCTCTCTGACCTTACTTCACCCCACTCGTGGGACACAAAAACCTCGAATTTGAGTCTCATTTTCTGTTCTCTTTATTCATGATACAACAAGCAGATTTTCCACTGACCAGAGATGATTGCAATCCCTTTATTTCCTGAAAGAATTAATTGTTCTTAGTGACCAGTTGGATGCACCCAGGGACCTGAGAGAATAATTTGCAAGATCTGTTGTTAATCACGGGGATGCATGCTGCATATTATATTTTATGGTGTCTTTTATAGGCACTGAAGTAAATATAAATGTCCTTTTTGTTCAAGGTAATTGTTACTTGCTTTTCGCTTTTGGTTTAATGGTTGGCTTCCTGCTGGCCTGGGATCTAAAACATCAGCATGTTGCCAGTGGGCCCAGCACCCAGAACAGATATCCAGGGAGAACAGAGAGGCTGGGAGAGTTTGGTACAGGGCAGTTTGAAAATAGGAAGAGAGTAGGCTGATGATTATTGAGTGCCTTCCACGTGGAAGAGAACACGCTACGCTCTGTGTAAGTAAGGTATACCATTGAATTGTCCTATTAACTCTATGAGGGGGAGGGTCATTAGCCTTATCTTACAGAGATGGGACCCAAGGCTCAGACGGGTTTAGCAATTTGCCTGAAGTCACACAGCTGCTAAGTAGTGGTCCACGCTTTGTTTTTTATTCCATAGTGCTGTAGATATAGATTATACTTGCTCTTTGGGCTGTCATATGTGCCTTAATTTGGGTCCCAAACATCCTGATTTCAGAGGAAATTGGATTTTCACTGGAGGTGGAGGAGTGGATGGGTAAAGGAGACAAAAAGTCCTGGAAAATTCAGACAGTCCAGCATTTTCTCTGGGGCCCAAGACAGGATGGACCTGGACCACTATGATCTGTAATGCAATTCTGACACTGACCACCCAGAGTTAGTGCAGACTCCACAGGCTTAAGGGCATCATTCCCCGTAAGACTGCCCTCACTTCAGACACAAGCTGCAGGTTTGGGGGTCCCAAGAACACTTGCAATTCTGAGAAACTGACTACAAATTCAGAGGTTCCCCTAACCCCTTCAGGTTCAATAATTTGTGAGAATGACTCACAGAACCCAGGAAATCACTATATTTGTGATTACAGTTTTATTATAAAGGATACAAATCAGGACCAGCCAAATGAAGAGACACATAAGGTGAGGTCCAGGAGGGTCTTGGATGCAGAGCTTCCATGTCCTCTCCCACAGAATCAGGACGCAGCACCCTCTCGGCGTATCAGTGTGTTCACTGAGCTTCAGTGTTCAGAGTTTTTATCAGGGTTTCATGACAGAGACACTGTTGAGTGAACCATTGACCACATGCTTGAACTCAATCTCCAGCCCCTCGCCTCTCCCCAGAGAGATGGGGCTGCTATCACCTCCATCCTGAGTCACCTAGTGTAAACTCAGGTGTGGTCCAAGGGGCATACCATAGATATCAGAGATGCTCCTATCACTGAGAAAGTGCAAAGAGTTAGAGGTTCTTTCCCAGGAACCAGGCACCAAGACAAATTATTATGTAACAGTCACTCTTGTGTCTTCTCATCCTGTGCACTTGGCCTGATCTGCATCTTTATCCACTGACCCCTGGCCTGTGCCTTCTGCTCAGCCTGGGTGGAGCTATCTCTGGAGCCCAGAGCCATAGCAGGAGGTTCTCTCCTGGTGTCTATTCTGTGCTTCAGAGATAGCTCGCGTGAGCTTCCATGTGGGACCTTTGCCCTGCTCCCTTCTTTGTCCTGGGGAACTTGCCATGAACTCGTTTGGGTGTGGTGCTTCCCAATAAAATCCTGCAACTTTTTCTCCTACAGTGACAATGTGTCAGGAAGGCACCACCAGCTTACTTTGAAGAGTGTTTTCTCTTTTAACACAGGATACTTAGTCATTTCAGGTGTTGGCTTCTTTGATTTGGGGAACGTGGCTATTTTTCCTCCCTTCCTCTTCCTCTTCTCAGGCGGAGGAGAGAGGAATTCTAACTCTACATTCCATTTGGTCGGGAGACTCTCAGATATATGCCCAGCTCATAGTAGGAGCAAATGTCCTGGCTTGTAGTCAATACTCAATAAACAAGCAAATATTTAGAATCTCAGAATACTTTGTTATTTTCAGGGATGTTGACATCTGTGTATTTAAAAAGCTGCACGTGCCGCTCAGCCTCCGTGAGGGATGCTGCCTTGTTTGATGGTTAGGTTAATTTCTGCACAGCTCCGAGCCCACTCCCAGGCTCAGAGATGTCACTTTCAGCATCACAGGCTGCCCAGCTCTCTCCTGCCACAGCTGCAGGGCTTTGAGGATGCGAGCATCTAATGACATCTCAGAAAACCAAAGTGGCTCCAAGAGGCACCCAAGCAAGTCCTCAGGGGCAGGACTTGGGAAGTTTAGAATTACCCTCAGTGTAAGCAAATGCGAGAAGAGTTCAATGGAGCCACTCAGGGTGATGCTTGGGGCTTCAGTGGTCTCAAGGTGTAGCCATGAGGAGCTGGGGTCTCAGCTGGGAACTGGTGATTGGGCAGTTCTTTTTTTTTTTTTTTTTGAGGCTGATTAGCCCTGAGCTAACTGCTGCCAATCTCCTGTTTTTGCTGAGGAAGGCTGGCCCTGAGCTTACATCCGTGCCCGTCTTTCTCTACTTTACATGTGGGATGCCTACTACGGCATGGCTGGACAAGTGGTGCCATGTCCTCACCTGGGATCTGAATCGGCGAACCCAGGGCCACTGAAGCGGAATGTGCGCACTTAACTGCTGCACCACCGGGCTGGCCCCTGGGCAGTTCTTAATGGACAGGACTGATAAAGCCACAGAGTGTGGTGTGTTCCTTGCAGCCTGGGCTGTTGGAGCGATGATGTTTGTCGGGCTGGATTGGGAGGGCTTTTGCTTAACGAGAGGCCTCGAATGTCAAGTGACCTGCTGCCACTGCTACTGGTAACTGGCCAAGGGGGACTGTGGGAGGCCCAGCCTTAAGTCTGCAAACATTTTGGTAAAAGCCCGTTTGTTCAAAAAGGCTCTGCTCTCACCTCCTTTCCTCCCTCCTTTTCTCCCTGCTTCCTTTCCGTGAAGTAATGCCTATTATGAAGCTGCACAGACTGGCTGGACTCTCTCCTTTTCTAAAGGAAGGATGAGGTCAGCCCTCAGCAGAGTAAATATGAAACCTTGGGTGGTAGCTGCAATGTCCATCTTCCTGTGGTGAGTGCCTCCTGGCCTGGTTTCTCTGGAGGCTGCCTTAACCCCCACCAGCAGCTAGCTCCCCTCCCAGCCAGGTCACTGTGCCCCTGGACAGCACGCCCGGGGCAGAAAACGCTCTTTCTGCTTGGTTTTGCCTTTCGTTTATTAGTTGCATAGTTCCTCTGATGTTTCTTTCTATTTTTCCCTTTCCCATGTGTGAGAGGGCAGGCTGGGCTGGTGAAGTGATGGATGTCAAGCCCCTGACCTCTGCCAGGTTGGCTCCATTTCCTCATCCCCTCTGCCTGCACTTTGTTCTAGAGCAGTGCTTCTCAAACTTTCATGTATAAGCGAATAACCTGGGCTCTTGTTAAAGCACAGATTCTGATTCTGTGGGTCTGGGTGGGACCGGAGTCTCTGCATTTCTGACAAGTTCCCAGGGGATGCTGCTGCTGCTGGTCCGTGGACCACACTTTGAGCTGCAAGGATCTAGATCGGTGGTTCTGAGGGTGTGGTCCTGGGACCGGCAGCCTCAGCATAAGCTGGGAGCTTGTTAGAAAAGCAAAGTCTCGGACCCAGCTCCACACCTGCTGAATCAGAAACTCTGGGTGCGGCCTAGCAATCTGTTTTAATAAGCCCTCCGGGAAATTCTGATGTATATGCTCACAGTTGAAATCTCTGCTGGGTGGTTCTGGGCCCTACGTGCACATTGTGATCACCAGGAGAACTTTGAAAGGCATGATTCTGATTTAATTGGTTTGAGTGTGGGCCAGGCATTTAAAAAACTTTTCTTGTTTTATTTTGAACTTTTTATTTTGAAGCAACCTTAGATTTACAGTAGAATTGCAAAGATTGCAATTGCATATACCTGTCACCTAGCTTTCCCTTGGGTTAACATCTTATATAACCGTGGTACCTTTATTAATACTAAGGAGTTAACGTTAGTACAATACTATTTAGATTTCACCAGTTTCCCCACCACTGTCCTCTCTGTGTTCCAGCATCCAATCCAGGACACCACATTGCACCCAGTTGTCCTGTCTTCTTGTCTCCTCTGCTCTGTGACAGGTCCTCAGACTTCCCTTGTTTTTTATGACCTTGACACTTTGGAAGAGTACTGGTCAGGTGTTTTGTAGAATGTCTCTCAGTTTTTGGTGGTCTAGTGGTTCAGACTCAGTGCTCTCACCCTTGCGGTCCAGGTTCATTTCCCTGTCAGGGAACCACACTATCTGTCTGTCAGTTGTCGTACTGTGGTGGCTGCGTGTTGCTTTGATGCTGAAAGCTGTGCCGTCGGTATTACAAATACCAGCAGGGTCACCCACAGTGGACAGGTTTCAGTGGAGCTTCTAGACTGAGACAGACTAGGAAGAAGGACCTGACCACCCACTTCTGAAAAAACTGGCCATGAAAACCCTATAAACAGCAGCAGAGCACTGTCTGCTGGAGACTGGAGGGTGAGCGGATGGCGCAGAAAGACCGGGCAGGGTTCCGCTCTGCTGTCCGCAGGGTCGCTAGGGGTCAGAACCACTTTGATGGCACTAACAAGAACAACTCTCAGTTTGGTTTTCTTGTGATTCGACCGGGGTTATGGGTTTGGGGAAGTCTACCACAGAGGTGAAGTGCCCCTCTCATCGCATCGTATCCGGGGAAACCTGATGTCAACATGACTGACTTGTTTTTGTCCTTTCAAGTTCCCCAGGCAGGGTTGGGATCCCTGCTTTAGGCTCACACAGCTTCCCAGTGTCTTGTGGAGACGGAAGAAGTGCAGCTGAGGGACTCTTCCGCATGTGGGCATGAGGCACAGCCTCTTTGAGATTAAGGAGGCCTGGCTGTTTCTAAATTAAAAGGCTCCCAGGAAACTGAAAAATGCAGATATTCCCACACAAGGTAATAAAGGTGGTAGTGTAGTGTAGTTTTAATGTTTACATTTAACACAAATTAACGTTTTAAGTGTACACACAAATGTCATGACAAATGGATGTAACTTCAGAAGCATGGACATCAAGCTCCATCCTCCAAGATGGGCCTGGCACTACGGATTGTGTTTTCCAGGTGTATCTGAAACTCTAGAAACAGACATCATCCTTGGAGGGTTGGCAGGGACCCCTCTGGTCAGTCACCCCTGAGTGGTGGACCTGGTGCCCTCTGCACCAGCCTGACCGGGCAGCCACTTCTCAGGGCCCGGAGGGGTGAAGTCAGAGTCTCGCTTAGGCTGGTGGTTGACCGTTTCAAACGTGACCCCTAGCCCTGAGTGATGGAAGTGGGGGGTGGCCCTTTCTCTAGGTGGGTAATAACGGAGAGGGCGGATTGAAGGATGGAGTGTCAGCAGCATGGACTATCCTCTTTCCGAGGCTGATGCTGGTGGGGACATAAAGTCCTTCCAGGCTGGTGAATTAGGGACAAAGGTCAAGGGCTCTGGCTGTTCCCTGTCCTCTTGGAGCTGCCAGGGCTGTGTGTAGTTGGTGTTGGGGGGGGGGGGGTCTCCTTCCCTGGCCCTTTTTTGGGCCCAGTGTAAGCATGTGTGCATCAGAGTGTCCACAAATGTCCGTGGACAGTGGCTGCCCCCATTGCTGAGGCAGGCCATGCAGGGGAGTATTTAAGGGCCTGGCCTCGAGAGTTGGCCTGAGTTCAAATCCTGTTGCCCTCAGGGTTCTGTGTGATCTTGGACAAGTAATGCAATCTCTCTGGGCCTCAATTCCTCAGTTTGACAAGTGGGGATAATAGTACCTAGCTCATAGGGTCATTGAGAGGATCAAATTAGATAATATACGCAGTGTACTTATAGAAGTGCTTGGAGAAGAGAAACCACAGTAAGTGTTCAATAAATGGTGTTTATTTTTATTATTAGCCCCCATGGCAGACTCTTCCCAACCCCCTTAGCTCTTGCCTGCCCTCTACTTGAAAGGCTGAAAAAGTGAGGTCTTGCTTTCCCTGCCTTCCTTGCAGCTAGAAGTGGCACATGACATTAAAGGGGAAGGGGAAGCTTATGGAGGGATTCTGGCAAGTTTTTCTTCTTTTCTTTTCTTTTCTTTTTTTTTTGAGGAAGATCAGCCCTGAGCTAACATCTGCTGCCAATCCTTCTCTTTTTGCTGAAGAAGACTGGCCCTAAGCTAACATCCGTGCCCATCTTCCTCTACTTTTTATATGTGGGACGCCTGCCACAGCATCGCTTGCTGAGCGGTGCTATGTCCGCACCCAGGATCCGAACTGGTGAACCCCGGGCCGCCAAAGTGGAACGTGTGCACTAAACCGCTGCGTCACCGGGCCGGCCCCTAGCAAGTTTTTCTTTGGAAATTGATAAGAGTATAGGTTGTTAGCGTTGCCTTTCCTTCTTCCTTCTTGCAGGGGGTGCTGGCATGTGGTTTTGGATGTCTGGAACTATAGCAGTCTGTTTGTGACTTTGAGGCAATAAGTACAACATGATGTTTTATTTGGGCATGTAGCATCCCCTTCTGGATCCTGGGTAGCCCCCCTCCTAGGCATTTATGGGTGTTGGAATGAATGACACACTGGCAGCAATGACTGTGAAATAAAGTTTATTGCCTACATAGTAACTAGCAAAAGGATTCCCCGAGGAGAAGGGCTCAGGTTTGGTCTGAAGTGAAACACGAACAAGGCATTGTGGGGTGGCTCTGGTTTTTATTGCTGTTAGGGGGTAGGGACAAAGATGAGGGCTCCCCTGTGGGGGCCAGGGTTTGCATGGTTTGAACTTCTCTGCCAGCACCAAGGGAGGGAGCCCTTGGGCTTTCTTGTAAGCTTGCCCAGACTAGGGGCAAAAGGGAAAGGGGAGGGGCGGGGCTTTAAAGCTGTCTGCGGTCAACGTAAAAAATGCAGTCAGACTCTCTATCACCCATGAAAATCTAAGAGGCTGGGGATAGCTCACCAGAAAGATGGAAGGAGCCTGTGTCTCAGCCGAGCCCCCTGCTGAGTGGTGA